CCTCTTAGAAGGAAAGTGCTGGGAGCTGTTTTGTCCTTTGAGACTTTGAGGTTCTTCTGCAAATCGAGGAATATGCTGCAAATACTGTTCTCAGAGGGTCTACATACATTGGTGGGTATTTAAGTGTATAGACTCTGCACACCTTAGGTCATTAGGACACCAATGCAAAGGATTGCTAATCAGCACATTGTAGGCAAAAAACGCGACATTGGGGCGCACTCTTTGCTCATGTCTCAGCATCCCTGCCAACGAAGAGGTGCATGATGCCATATTCTGGATGCACGTGAGTTTTTGCCATTAAAAACGATGCAACTTCGATGCCTCACCACTGAACAGGTTAGCGTCAGCTCACACGGCTAAACACCTTTTCGTAGCACCAACGCAAATATCAACAAATTTACTTTTTCTACTTAAAAGCTTGTTTTTATTCATTTAAAGCGAAACTACTTCAATGGAAAAAAGGTAAATCCTGATGCCTGGATTAATGTTGCTAGCATAATGATCGCAAAATGAAATGAATCACCTGGTAATAGCCGTGTGATGACTTGCCTTAAGTGAAAGTTGTTTTGGGGATTTTGAGTGCAGGCGACGGAGCTGAGAAGGACTGCTGTATAAGAGACTACGATGAACAAGGAAAAGGTGCATTAAAGATGTAAAAATCAGACATAAAGACGGAAATTAATTTATCGTAGAGACCATTGCTAAATTTTACTTGGTGCATTGTGAAAATAATGCTTTTAAATCTAGGATGAAGATGGAGAAATATAAGTCGCAGCAATTTTTCCCACCTTCCAAAGCCTCTGCCATAAAGTAGTCGTGCATCAGGCATTTGATTTGGCAAAAAGTAAAGGCGAAACATTGCACAGCTCACCAAACGGTTTTAGTCCTAGGAACAAGCTTCAATTAGGTACTGATATTTGGTGATACTTGCATTGTGGCTAGCGTTGTCCGGTCGTTAATCATAGTCATAATTGTCACTAAAGTTAATGTCAAGTGAAAACTTCGCTTGTCGTGTCAATGTGTCAGGTGTCGATCAAACCCTTTTACCCTGCTTCATCGTGGCTGTCTCAGTTAAGCCACAACTGATTTAAGGACTCTCATTTTCTGTGAGCAGTTTTTGCCTCTCTTGGTTACCCGTTTGTCTGATTTTGAAACCCAGACAAAATCCATCATAATGTGGAACAAGGAGGGGAGATGTGGGATTGTAAAGGATTTTGTTCTTTATAAGTGCTATCGCGGTCCGGGCTCAACAGTCAAACAGCCATTGCCACTAAAAAAAGTTAAAGAATCAAATAGAAATTGTTTAGCAGCAATTGATGATGCATTCGCTACCACCGCCACACATATACTACACTAGAAACTAACTTTTATTCCTAGTGTCACAACATTGTGCCACTGTGTTCTAAGACAATTTATGATAAGTAGCTGCACCAGTTTATGTTGGGGAGGAATATAAGGCAAGGGCAATATTACTCCATCCATTCACCTGAGATTTACCGTCCATTTAGCATCTTTGCAGTGAATCATTCACCCTTGACCCTCGAACACTACCCCTTACAAATTCATCTATCTCAGGTTCATCTACTCATATGGCAGACACTAATATGCTTACCGAGGATTCGTCAATCTATTTGTGCCTCGACTACGCATTCACCGACCCCTTGAATGCTGCCCTAGGATCCTTTAGTCT